TCCTTATTCGACTTTAACATTTTTTTCAAAAAAAAAAATATGTAGATGCTTTATTTCATGATTTTAATGATTGATCCTTGCAATTCTTATGCAGATTTATCAAAAATAACTGCAACTGCTGTCTTTCTTTACGTAATAACTTCTGTTCCTTATTCGGAGTCGAATGAACCTGAACATTTTTTTTTTACAAAATACTTTTTATGCAGATGCTTTATTTCATGATTTTTATTATTGATCCTTGCAATTCTAATGCAGATTTATAAAAAAATAACTGCAACTGGTGTCTTTCTTTACGTATTTCCTTCTGTTCCTTATTCGGAGTTGAATAAGGAATAAGGAACTGGTTCCCTATTCCTTATTCGACTTTAACATTTTTTTCAAAAAAAATATGTAGATGCTTTATTTCACGGTTTTAATGATTGATCCTTGCAATTCTAATGCAGATTTATCAATAATAATTGCAACTGCTGTCTTTCTTTACGTAATAACTTCTGTTCCTTATTCGGAGTCGAATGAACCTGAACATATTTTTTCCAAAATATTTTTATGCTAATGCTTTATTTCATGATTCTTATGATTGATCCTTGCAATTCTAATGCAGATTTATAAAAAATAAATGCAACTGGTGTCTTTCTTTACGTATTTCCTTCTGTTCCTTATTCAGAGTTGAATAAGGAATAAGGAACTGGTTCCCTATTCCTTATTCGACTTTAACATATTTTTCAAAAAACATTATGTAGATGCTTTATTTCATGATTTTAATGATTGATTCTTGCAATTCTTATGCAAATTTATCAAAAATAACTGCAACTGCTGTCTTTCTTTACGTAATTACTTCTGTTCCTTATTCGGAGTCGAATGAACCTGAACATTTTTTTTTCCAAAATATTTTCATGGAGATGCTTTATTTCATGATTTTTATGATTGATCCTTGCAATTCTAATGCAAATTTATCAAAAATAACTGCAACTGGTGTTTTTCTTTACATATTTTCTTCTGTTCCTTATTCGGAGTTGAATAAGGAATAAGGAACTGGTTCCCTATTCCGTATTCGACTTTAACATTTTTTTTTCAAAAAAATTATGTAGATGCTTTACTTCATGATTTTAATGATTGATTCTTGCAATTCTTATGCAAATTTATCAAAAATAACTGCAACTGATGTCTTTCTTTACTTATTTTCTTCTGTTCCGTATTCGGAGTTGAATAAGAAATAAGGAACTGGTTCCATATTCCTTTATTCGACTTTAACAATTAACAATTTTTTTTTTAACTCATGTTCTATATACGAAAAAACAAATAAGATCAGAAATAAGACCTAAGAACATTATTCAATTTTAACACAAATATAATAAATTCAATTGCAAGTATGCCTTTAAATTTACAGTGAATATAATTATATATAATAGATACCTTGAACCAAATTACATAATACAGAAATATTAAAACAATAAACTATGCAACTAAGTAATGTAAAAACTAAATCTTTTAGATATTAAATCTTATTCAATGTAATACAAAAAAGAAAATAAAAGGAAACTGAGTACCTAAAATATCCATTATTCAGACAATACTTAACATTTAATTAACAAAATATAATAAGTAGAAATTCTAATATATTCCATAATGAATATTATAAATGATTGAAAACAAATTCTATAGCAATTCAATAAATAGTGCATAATATAATCATACAGACAACTGGATGTCAATTTCAAATATTAACGCATTATTACCATTACATAGATATCACTAAAAAAAATAATATACGAGAAGATAGATAAGAAAAGGAACTATGATATCCCTATATTCCAATATGATCAACTATATACATATATATATATGATAGATAACTATTATTATTGCAATGCAATATTTCTAGATTCTATATGAGAATACCATAATGCAATAATCTCAATATATATATAGCAGATATAAATTAAATCAATATAATATTAGGCTACTAGAGAGCTGTATAAATACCATATTACGATAATTTCATTATCTGTTACCTTACTATCAGGAGTGATTGAAATAGAGAAAAGGAACTAGAGAATTCCCTATATCCTGTATCATCGACTATATTTTTATCCAATGTATTTTAGCGATACCTTTATGCTCCAATAGAATAGTTAGAATAAAGAGTATATATTATATTATATAATAATAATAACTAATAATACAGTGACTAGATTACCCTTAATTTGATTTTGATAGTCAAGAGACATAATATACACACTAATACCTTATTACGAGGAAGAGACAAATATCCAAATATTATACTATTAATTCGAGGAATAGAGAATACTATCATGTACAATTAATATACATATATATATATTAGTATGATATACTGACGTGATCTGAACATCGTTCGTGAGAAAAAACGTGCTACCGTTCGCTAGTTCAACTAAACATTTTATCGAACGATGAACATACTAATTTAAAGGCATCATCATATTTGTCATAATAATTATCATCATCGTCTTCATCATCACAACCACCATAGTCATCAGTGCGTCATCATTGTCACCATTCTTACAATCATCATAATCATGGTCGGTCAATCATCAACATAATCATGGTCAGTCAATCATCATCATAATCATGGTCTGTCAATCATCATCATAATCATGGTCAGTCAATCATCATCATAATCATGGTCTGTCAATCATCATCATAATCATGGTCGGTCAATCATCAACATAATCATGGTCAGTCAATCATCATCATAATCATGGTCTGTCAATCATCATCATAATCATGGTCAGTCAATCATCATCATAATCATGGTCAGTCAATCATCAACATAATCATGGTCAGTCAATCATCAACATAATCATGGTCAGTCAATCATCATCAAAATCATGGTCAGTCAATCATCATCTTAATCATGGTCGGTCAATCATCAACATAATCATGGTCAGTCAATCATCATCATAATCATGGTCAGTCAGTCAATCATCATCATCATAATCATGGTCAGTCAATCATCATTATAATCATGGTCAGTCAATCATCATCATAATCATGGTCAGTCCATCATCATCATTTTAAGTATGTCATGAAAATTCGTTATTATCACCAGTACATCTTAATCATCACTAACAGTTTATCATCAAATCATCACAATCGTCATCATCAGAACATTATCACAACTGTCATCATCATAATGATCGGTAACATCATGATAATCATCATCATCATCATTATCATCAACATCTGTACATCATCACCATCAACAATACCACTATATATATTGAAAAACTCCTATACATTATAATAGGACATCATATTTAAGCTAGTAAAGATTATGATATACATACTTTTCTTATGTACTTAAGGTAGACCATGGGTGATGAAATCGGCAATTATCGACAAATTACGTGTTAGTACGTGTTATTTCGTAAGTAAACGTAGAGCCGTTTGATAGTTTCCGTTTATTTCGGTTAACCTTGGACTAAATACTGCTGCTCCCGATTTTACATTAACATTGCAGACATAGGACTTCGTATTTTTGAAATTGATGCACGTTGTTGACAAATAAAGCTTCGTATTTAACGAATATAGCTCTGGGGAGCTATATTCGTTACATCGCAACAGAAGAGCAGTATTCATCGAGAGATTTATGCAGCGTAGCCGCTTTCGGCCTTGAGCTTTTGAAAAACAATTCTGTGTTGTTTCAAACTAAGCATTTCAGTAATTTTACTAATTCAGTAACTTTACTAATGTACGTACATATACTGAGCGGACCGGTAGATTAGCGGTACCAAGGGGGTTCTTTACTGTTGTATGTTTTTCATCGATTCCACCATGATTTGACAATTTTATAAAACGATTTTTCTAAAAGTAACATATTTCATCTTTAGAAAAGCAGGAGGCCGCTTTAACGGCTAGTTTTAAGTTTAACTTCTTATTCATATAAGAGGTCTGTGGCGAAAAGAAAAATAAATTAAATCAAGGAGAACTTCTACTACGCGGTTTTAGCAGACTGTGGAATTTTTGAAAATGTATATCGATGCAAACGAAAATAAAGTCTTTTTCGGTAAAATTATTATTGAAAATATGTCTGACAATCATAATCAATTTAAAAATGCACGCCGATGTACAATTGTAAACAAATCTTAATTAATGTCAACCGGTTTCGGTTTTTACAACCAAATAATAAGTACATGTACTGTTATAAATCTACTTAATTTAGGCGAACCTTTAGTCGATATATTGGAATAAACTTAGTTCAACAACTGCCAGTATTAAATTACTATTTGCTTACATATTTATTTGACGAAATACCGCTCCGTTCCATTGTGTGCGAGTTTGGCGGAAAGGATTGCTCTCGACGATTTGTTGAATAATGATTTTCATTAAGAATGTTATTAGAAACAAGTAGCAAGTTTTGTCTTTCGTGCAAACTAAACTTCTCAGAGAACGAGATGTATGTTCTATATATGCTTCTTCTTTACTATAATTCTTGAGTGTTCATAGTTTAAACATTAATAAGTAGAAAATATTTGTTTAGACTTAAGATCGAGCTTTTTTTCCCTTCCGTACCCTCTTTATATATGATCGCCAATTAGTTGTAATTCTCTCTCTTTTTTTCGTCGTTTGTTGTATTTTCATTACTTATCTTACTCTTTCTAGGCGTAATTATGTAATTATTTCATGTTAGTAACTAGTGTACTTGTACGTGTTGTTACATTATAATTTGCTTTATTTTTACAATTCACGGGAAAGAAATCTACATAAGTCTTTGACTTCCATTTTAATCCTGTTTATATAATGTCGTTGTATCATAATTGTATATGTTTGTATTATATGAAATAAATACTGTTTAAACCAATTTGAAACTATACTACTCCTGGAGGATTCCATAAATCTGTATGTCGCCACTTTTCAAAAGTAGTGGCGCGAAAGGGCAAGAAGTGGGGTGAAGAGCCGAGTTGCGTGTTGTCAAATTTTCAGCATTCGTGGGAAAAAATAAAAAGAACTGTAAATTCTAAAAAGTTAGAATGCAATCCTTTTATTCATTAATAAGCTCAGGATAAGTACATACATAAAGTGGCAAACATTGAGACATATTATTTTCAGTACACAACTTTTCATAACTCTCAAAAATTTCTGATTAATCTCTTATAAAATAAAGTTTTGTAAAATCAAAAATTTACTACATGCAGTATATGCCTGATGTTAAAGGATCGTGTACAGAAAAGGGCAGATTTACAACTCTTTTGCATTTACTAAAATATGTTGACTTTAAGATGCTATTATGCTACCATGAAAACATAAAATACAAAATATGTGATGTTCAATGTCTATTTGCTTTTAAAATATTCATTCATAATACTGCACGTGTGTAACGTTGCTTATAATTGGATAATCCTGACGTTTACATAATCTACAAACACGGCTGCTGTCAATTCATTTTTGTTTGTTACGTCGCTTTTCATTGGTTATATAATTTATAACAACGGATGCAGTAAATTCATTTTTGTTTGTTACGTCGCTTTTCATTGGTTATATAATTTATATACACGGCTGCAGTCAATTCACAGAGTAGTTTCAATTTTTCTCAATAAAGGAAATTTGCTGTATAAAAATAATGTACATTGCTACAACATTATACTTATTATGGCGAAACAAACAAAGCAATACATATTGTTTGGCAATATTGACCTTAGACTGATAAATTTTCGGATGTTTTTCGTTAGGTTCCTTAATAAGTTATGATTTGCACATTGGCTTTAAATGATATTATAATTCTTGTTATTTCAATCAATAATTACGTCCCGATGGCCTAGTGGTAAGTACAATGGAATTGTAATCACATGTTTGCAAGTAAGAATCTCCCGAATAACTCTTTTTTTCAAATTTTCTTAACAATTTACTGGTATTTCTTTCTTTTTAAAGATATATGCAGCATGAGTGGGTGAATTCTATGTACTTGTTTAATTCCTCGCATATATAATCATTTTAAGTTCATAACCTTAATAAACATATGAATATATAATATTTCATTAATTGTTTTACATTGGTTGATTCGCATGCAAGTGGTCATGTTTCACAAAACAATAATGATGAAAATACACAATGTAATAAAATGTAAATAAAAATAGTTTCAACATGATTTGAAATTACCAACTTCAGTTGAAAAGTCTATCACTGAGGCTAGCAATGAGTGTTACACTATTAGATTTTAGCTTCTGAATCCGATAATTTCAGACGAATGATCGTTGAGTACGCAAATGTCTCGGGCCAATATTGCCAAACGATAACTTGAATATAAGTAAAGCAGGGCAACACAATTGAATAAAGATTAAAGGCACATTCAACCTCAGAAATGAATCTTTTTTCTTTTGTAGAAAGTGCAAACATGTGTTTTTAAGATGCTGTAATAATGGACTTATTATATGCTTTTAACATGAAGCAAATAGTGCTGAATTTAAAATGATTAAAGGTAACAAAATGTAAACAAAAAGATATTTTGGCTACCTTACTAGAATGCCAAATTAACTTTAACCGTACTAATTATCAAAACCCAAAAGAAACAAAGTTTGGTTCAGTACTATTGACAATAAGTAAAAAACGGTTTAATAGGCACCAAAACGTATAATGTTTAAGAAAATAAATCCATTGTCAAGGCTTAATGGGCCTTAAAGCATGTTATGACAATTACAAGTATATGTAAAATGTCAGTCTCTGATGTACAAACGGAAAGAAGAAAAAATGTTGCATTTAGAAAGAATATTAAAGGAGTACATGCAAGTAATTTTGTTCACTGAAATTCAAAGTTAATTCGTTGTAATTCAAGGTGCATTCCCCTGTAATTCCCTGTAATTCAGGTGTCTCTGTCGATCACAGCCGATCCTTCTTAATGCGAATAGGTTCACACGTCATGTACCTGTAAAGGCGGTCTCTGGAAAGATTAAGAAAAAATGGAATAAAAAAGAATAAGTATAAGAAACATGATGAGGCATAAATGATCTTGTCACTTCAAATATCAACTAATTTCTGAAGAAAATAAGGTAACAGTAAAATGCTTTAAGTACTGAATGTAATACGGTCCATTAAAAACAATGAAAAAAATGAACGACACATTCCTGAGGGATATCTTTTCATTTGTCAGAACGATCAAATTGTATAAAACTTTCTCAGAATTCAAACAAAATAAAATATTTAAGAATAAGCAAAATATATATTACTCTAAAACACTTCATCAAATATTTTAATTATTACTACTTGTAAATATGCTGAGTGTATCAATAAAACTTGAAAACTTGAAACTTGTAGACATATTGAATCGGTTAACATCGGCTTATTTCGGGTAAAATCGTAATAAAATTAATCCCGCTCTCGTCTTTTCATATTGCCTACTTCTTGAGATTGAGGTTTTCCATTATATCCATTCGGAACTGCTTCGGCTATTATCTATAATAACCTCGGAAACAATACGGATTGAAAGTAGTTCTACCACGTGGTTTCAGATGTAAACAGAAACAGAGATAATGTTAAACGAATGTATATATTTGACACCTAATGTCTGTTCCGACACTCTTTTGCTTGAAAATATGTCTGACAACAATTTGTAATTTAAATATGCCCACTGATATTCAATTTTAAACAAATCCGACTAAATGTTAACAGGTTGGTTTTTTGTACTTTCGGTTTCTACAACCATAATAATAAAAATAAATAAATAATGTATTGTTTGCTTTTGTACCTATGAATTCACTTATTTTAGGTGGACTTTTACTACATTTATTGGAAATAAACTTGTCAACAACTCCCATCATTAAATTACTATTTGTTTACATCTTTAGTTTCTTAGCGTAGGTTAGACCGAAATACCGCATCCGTTCTGTGTATTCATACTATTGTGTTCGAGGTCCTTATCCGAAGACTGACGGAAAGGGTCGAGTAGTTGCGATTGCCATTATATCGTCATTATTTGGAAACTAAAATGGTGGCTTCAGTATTTATCGAATGTTAGGTAAGTACATACACAATGTAATATTCCTACAAAAATGAGATAAACGAAAACTTAGGTCATTGATATTTTTTTTTTCCAAAGAATTTAAAGGAAAAACAAATGTTTATGTGTTTAAAAATCATAAATCTATATCAATTATCAATATGTTTTCAATGTCATTAAGTAAAAGTTATCCCCAAAATTACATTCATATATGTACATTGGTAAAAAATTTCTGTGCAAATTTAATATGAATTATTTTTTTCAACATAGTCTATTAAACAAATTATTATAAAAACGACAGAAGTTTATCTATGTATTTGGAATTAAACTTTCGTCATGACTTCTCATTAAGTGACATACAATTACAGAATTAAGTGCTTGGAATAATCTTACGCAAACACAGAAATATTTATTTAATATATCAGAATTTGCAAGAACAAACATCAACTGCACCCATAATCTCCTGCCAATTTATTATCTTGTTAGGTCGACAAAAACTGCCAAATCCACACGAGTTAACATTCATTTTGCTGCTTGCCATTCCACCTATTGAATTCCAACTGAATTGGAATATTTTTTTTATTAATTGCAAGCAGCTCAATGTATGTTTACTCTGGTGGATTTGGAAGTTCCGTTGACACAAAATGTCGACCTCGCAATTTTAATGTTATTTTTTAGGTTTAATATTTCATTTATTGTAAATGAAGAAAGATTGGTCAATATTTACAGAAAGATAATATCTGTTGTACTATGTTTGCACGTAAATATATGAAAATGTGTTTTATTTGACACCCAAGTGACGAATGCCCCCGAAAAGGTTTCTTAAGCATGCAGGTATTATGAAAAGAAAAGAGAATGAAAGTATATATTTGTTGAATATTGTTCTGTTCTTGATAGCATAAACCTTCAAAATATAAGTGTGACCTTGACCTTTGAAGAAGGGACGTGGTTCCTGGACGCGACAAAATGTTGTTATGAGACAGACATGTGTGCCAAATTATTTCAAAATCACTCAATGCATGACAAAGTTACAGTCTGGACATGATTGTTGTGTAAGTGGGGACACACGGACAGACGGACATGAACCTTAGCCGCTACACATTGTCTTGATATGGTAGACATTTGTGCCAAGTTATTTTAAAATCCTACTATGCATGACAAAGTTACAGTCCGGACATCAATGTGTATCTTCAAACTCTTCTCGAGAGAATGAGTACCTTCAAACTATAAATGTGACATTGACCTTAAAGGTAGGGACATATGGGTCTTTGTCGCTACACATCGTCTTGATGTGGTAGACATTCATGCCTAGTTATTTTAAAATCCTTCCATGCATGACAAAGTTACACCCCGGACACGAATGTGTGTACCTATAAACTCTAATTGTGATAAAGTGAAACTTCAAAATGATATTGTGACCTTGACATTTGAGGTAGAGACGTAACTCTTGGACGCGACACATCGTCTTGATGTGATAGACATTTATGCCTAGTTATTTTAAAATCATTCAATGCATGACAAAGTTACAGTCAGGACACGAATTAAATTAAGTGGGGACGCACATATGGACGGACAGACGGAAAAGGTAGGGACGTAATTCTTGGACGCGACACATCATCTTGATGTGGTGGACATTTGTGCCAAGTTATTTCAAAATCCCTCCATGTATGACAAAGTTACAGTCCGGACACGAATTAAGTGGGGACGCACAGACGGATGGACAGACAGACGGACGAGGTAGGGACGTAATTCTTGAACGCGACAAATCGTCTTGATGTGGTAGACATTTGTGCTAAGTTATTTCAAAATCCCTCCATGTATCACAAAGTTACAGTCCGGACACGAATTAAGTGGGGACGCACAGACAGACAGACGGACAGAGGGTGCAATTTAATAATGCCTCCCTTCGGGAGCATAAAAATACAAGAGCAAAATTTTGACCGATCGGGAAATACGCTACGGCGAGTTAAATATTCTAACACTGTTAGATCTATTTAAACATAATTTTATAGTTAAGTCCAAGGAATTAAAAAAACACTCTACCTTCGGCTTAATGAGGGACCCGGACATGTCATCATTCATGTCCTTAAAGGTTTTCGTATGCCAAAAAGTGATCTAAAGCTTTTGAATACAGTTATTCACTGAATGATACTAAATATGTATGCAAGACAACTTTGCGATGTTTTTTTTTCAAGTGCTTAAAAGGAAATTTACTGAAAAAGAGAAAGGTAGCAGGCCACAATTTTGGTATTTGCAAAGTTAATCAATAGACTTTGTGGTGTAGTTAAAGCGTAATCAAAGCTACATGAGAACTTGAGATATGTCTTACTTGCCGGAAAAGGTAAAGCTAGTACGGACACGCAATCAGACGTTCTAACTGTCTAAAAGTTTTATGTGGTACCCCTTTGTTCTTCTTGGCCACATAAAACCATACTAACCATTAAAAGCATTTTTGGCTGAGTCAAAGCATTTAATTTATACACTTTACATACATTTAATAGAACAGTTCTAAAGGTTATTGTAATTAATGTTGGGGCGTGCTTAATAACTATAAGTTGGAGGCGTCTTACTTAAAAACTATTTTAACTTGAAGGCTTGCTTCTTTAATTGATATCAACTCGGAGTCGTGTAACTTTAAATGATTTGAACTTAGAGGTGTGCTGCTTTATATGATTTCAACTATTTTAACTTGTAGGCGTGGTACTTTAAATGTTTTCAACTATTTCAACTTGAAGGTGTGCTGCTTTTAAAAGATTTAACTTTGAAGCGTACTGCTTTATATGATTTCAGCTCGGATGCCTTCTGTTTTAAATGATTTCAACTTTGGGAGTGTTGCTTTAAATGATTTCAACTTGGAGGCGTGTTGCTTTAAATGATTTCAACTTCGAGGCATGCTGTTGTAAATGATTTCAACTTAGAGGTGTGCTTGAAATGAATACAACTTGGAGGCTTGCTGCTTTAAATGACTTAAACTTAAAGGCGTGTTGCTTTAAATGATTTCAAGTTAGAGGCGTGTTGCTTTTAGTGATTTAACTTACTCTTTTTGATTACTATGAATTGAGTTGATGCCTGTCATAACTCGGTTAGGTTCGACATTAAAGTTCTGCTTGTTATCCCAGTCGTTGGTCCAGGGAGTATGGTTACATCCAGCTAAGTAAATTCCTGAAGAATAAATAAAATTATACTATTACCTGGTGTGACGGACATACATTGTGTAATTTAAACATTAATGATAGAGTATTTGTTGAGCGTCTGGATTCCTTGGACTAATCCGTACTGATACAATTCATAGAAAAAAGTGATGTTTTGCTGATTCCTATAAATTCCCATACAAGACGTATCTTTATAAAGATATTCGGCCGATGTAAACCTGCTAAGGTAATTTCGTTTTTTTTTAATAGATAAAGAAATGTTAGCTCAGCCCATGTTTAATAATGACAGTAATAACGTGTCCCTATTCTGAATTGCTGAAAATACTATTACCACGACATTTGACATGACATTTAATGGTTTAATTAAGTTATGTTCCTACAAATGAAACTGTCTTGTTTCGGTAACTGTACCTTTCACTGGCGTATTTATGTACAAACTAATATCTGCTTCATTAATATGCATAGGTACATGTATAAGAATCATGAGATTCAAATCAAGATTTAAATCAATTGTACACATCAATAATCTTAATATCACGAAAACTGAAATGAGAGTACCAGAAAAATCCAGAGTTTGTATGTGGTGTCTTTCAGTATTTTTTATGCACATGAGTTTTCATGAGTGTTACTGGTGGTCTCGTTATTTTAGACAAAACTTATAAAATTCTATTTATATCTCATTTTAGAATGGCAAATGAGATTCCCTGATTTCAAAATGACCGATGGACATTCTACCTCTATTCAATTCTTTCCTGTATATTTTACAGGAAGTCAAATCGTTCTCAGACGAACCTTTTTGGTTGAGAGGCGCACAAAATAACCGAGATGCCATCTTCCAGTTTCGAAGTAAGCAAAACACTGAAAGCGGTTACAAAACTTTATGATTAAAACGTAACAAAATCTACCTTTCATGTTACAACATTTGACCTTCCATCTCCTGTCTTCATGGCGATTGTGGTGGTCACTTTGAAATCCACCTATGTACCCATTACCGGAGCATTGAAATATCATCTGTTTGTCCCAGTCGTTTATATACCCTGAAATATACAATTTTAAATACATAATGAGCATATTGACACTATTTTGATCTCTTTAGTTCAGAAAAAAATGATAGTAAAATTCACAACCTCATTGCCTGATACATATACACTTAAAGCGAATACAACAGAAACATATTCACTTAGTTTTTCAAAGTTTTTAAGAACGGAAACCAACGTAAGATAATTTTAATACAAACAAAAATATAATAGACTTACTGATGACGAAATTCCTTTTTGTACAAATACGCATTAAAACGCAGGCATAAAACGCAACAATGGGAGAATGATCACATCGCAGAAATAAGATACGCAGAAATTGAAAACCCCTTATTTTAAGAAGAATCTCTGTATATTAAGCACGCAGAAATAAGTACTTATACGGTAGTGGGTAACTAGAAATAAGATTGAAGATTTGTTATCAACATACTGGGTGTAAATTTTGGATCCCGACGCAAGACTACGCCAGACGGCATGCTATCACAAAAACTCACATCTGATCACTTTCAGCTTAAAAATAAGCCAAACAAGTAAATCAAGAAAGCATAAAATACCTGTCCAATAGCACGATGGCGTCAGACCAGCAACATTAATTGGAAAATTTCGACAACTCATGTGGAATACACGATCTTCTCGATGATTGCTGTGTACACTCGAGACACGGGATATGAACTGGTTACGACTAGCACATTCGAATTTCATATGTCCGTCGTAATCGTTGACAATTGTGCAACCGCCAGTGTAAATCATACAAGCCACAATCAGAAGTTCCTTTATCTGTGAAAATTATAACAATTGTTAACATCATGAAGTTCTTAACATTCCGGCATTTTCCGTAAATCTAGGATATGTACTTAATGATAGATAATTGGCAAGGTGTTTCAAATACCGAATCGCAAGCTTTTTTATTTCTCGAAGGTTTAGCTAAGTAAAGATTTTGAAATATTTTGCTTTTCAAAAAATCTTGAAAATATTTCACACTCCTTGGTAATTTTTAAGAGTTCTACAGCTAAGTATTATAAATAAAGTACACTGAAGAAAAATATTCGAATATATTGGAAATTAAGCGTCTAAAAGACACATTATCGAATCCAGCATACACCGTCCAACGCACTTTGGGTTCCGACCGCAAAGTTCTGAAGATGCCAACTAAGTCCTGCTTATATACTGACTACTGACTTATTTTCGATCTGCAACCTTAAAATATTAAGGTTCAACATGGCCGTTTATACTTAGATACACCACTGTGCAATTTTATAATCTTGCTCAGTGCAATATAAATTCAGCTTTAACAGTCATTAAATATGTATGTATTGCTTATAAATTGTAAGTTGTAAATGTTTTATCAATTTTACATCTTTAAAAATTACAAAATTATGACTTTATAACAAAATACTTAATTTGTAAATGTACATACATATATTCCTTAAATAACAGATGCTGCGTAATGCTTTCTGTTGAGTTTTGGTACCATATTGAACAACAGATTTAAAATTGATCGGAATGTAATAAATTACATAAATTATCATGTCTTATTTTCAAACAATTCAATTTCTGTTTAATGACTTGTAACAAGTAAGTTAGAGGCAACATCAATCACGGTCAAGTTGAGTGAGGAATACAGTTGTAAATTCATTTCAACCTTATTTCACAATTTTCGAATTTTCTAAATATTTGGACCACTTGTCATCGCTTAAAGAAACGTATACAAATTGTTTGCAGATTTATTTTTTATCTAACATTTTCCAAAACCAACTGGTCGATCGCATTTATAACAGTTTTGTGAAATTAATACATATTAAACTTGACAATGAATAAATTAGCACACAATGTCACTTTCAATAATGTGTTATCTAATGTATTATTACACTCAATACCCCTCAACATATATAATTTAAAGATCTCACTTTAAAGTCTCTATTCTATGAGACATATACATAATCAAATGCAAAAAGCAATCCTTAGATATAACGAAATAAAATAATATATCGTCCGACTTACTCTTAGTTAACTTTACTACATGAAGTTACTTTACAATATCACTAAAATTAATTGTTCATGGATTAAAAATGGATTAATTTTATGATGATTCCAAAGTGCGGTCGTTTGTCAAATGTTAAACAATGCATATCTGTGTATCAAAAACTGCCCTCAAAGTGTAATGGACCCCAAAGTGAGGTGTACCAAGGCTTATTTTATTTTCTTATTAACATATGTCGGCGATCTAAAAGATTGATTTAGGCAACTTATATGGAGAAGATCTAATCGCTTAAAATAATAAAATTTCCCCAAAAATGTTGTGTTAGCATTACAGTAAAATGAATAAAAACTAATAAATCATAAAATACACAATCAAAGATTTATTTGAAATAGTTCTTACCCACATTAGATACATTTCAGTCGTTGATTTCTTGCTTTTGACGTTTGACGAGAAGATATTTTTTCTCTGTAAATGTGAAAGTATATATATATATATATATATATATATATATATATATATATATATATATATATATATATATATATATATATATATATATATATATATATATATATATATATATATAACAAATTGCAGGAACTTTTTTTTATTTTCATGTGATGTGTCTATGTTAATCACTGAAAACCATTAAAATATATATGCACCGTTGATATTACAATTCCGTAAAGTTCCTTTTCTACCTTTATATCATTTAAAAAAGGTGTGGTCGAGTGGTTAAAGTGTTGAGTTCAAACCACTGCTCCTCACCGCTGTAGGTTCGGAACCCGCCGGGGACTTTGTATTCAAGTATGTGAGGAATCTATACAGCAAGCTTACGGAACGTTGGTGGCTCTACCTGGGTGCCCGTTAGTGCCGGAAATAAATCACGGAGTGGCACCTTAGTTCATACTTAAAAGTAAAGCATGAAAGTCGCCACGGACCTTGAAAGTGTGGTGCGGCGTTAATCTTAACAAAAAAAACAACAACAAAAAACAAACAAAAAAAACTAAAACAAAAAAATGAATAAAGAAGTTAGTTGACTTCACGACACTAGCCCGCCAAGTCTACACATCTAAGTTTATATATTTTTACAATACTCTACTAAGTTCGTTTTACTTTTCTTAAAGCAAGAAATGAAACGCGTTCAGCTTAATTTAATTCAACTGTATAGTTGCATGATATAGTAAAGTAACATATGCTCGGCCAATCTTATGCTCGGTCAATTCTGTTTATATTTGTTGTATTTTGAATGCAAGTTTGAAGTGGAATGTAATGCATAAAAGAAATAAAGATCATCACATACGTAATTCTGTCGTTAAACCATATGCAGAGTCGGTGCAATATCTTGTACGAAAAAATTAATAACTCGTCGTTGTTTTACATTAAATATATCTTTTATAATACTGTCATTTGTAACGTCGCTTTTTGGGATAATCGTAAAGTTTATATGGACTATACACGAGGCTGCTGTCAATTAATGAAAAAAATAATCATTTTTGTCTTTAATACCATTAGGTTGCTGATTTTTTATAAATTCTTTAAAGTTTGATTCTATATATAGATGGTTATACACAACAACCTATTTATATAGCTATATAACATTCTTTATACCTAATAATACACACATTTATTTATATTAACGAGAATGCATTAGATTTATATAATTGCTATTGTCCTAATGTGCTGTAATTAGTATATAAATAACACATGGGTTTGTGGGTAACAGTATAAATATCATCCCAAGGAAAATACTGTTACCCGAGGCGTAGCCGAGGGTAACAGTATTATTACGAGGGATGATATTTTTACTGTTACTCACAAACCCATGTGTTATTTATTTTATTACCCCGAACAAATACTGTGATTTATCTGAATTTGTAAACTAAATCTAACTGTAACAAAAATAAACCAAGAGAAGCAATAACTGAACTGCTCTTACCTGTGAACTGTAGGTCTACTTAAGAAGCTGTTTTTCTTTTATTCTTTAAGCAAGTGATGATATTTACCAGTCATAAACAAACAATAAGCTGTTTTATTTAGAAAACAAAACACTAACCCATTTATAAGGTTATGATCTGTGAAATCTGATCCTTCTGTATCCAGAATATTCTTGGCATGGTTTTTGACAAAGCGCATTTACAAAATAACGATGACACCCTACACATGTCTGTTCACCAACTCTATCTGTAACGTTTCACTAGTTAAAATTGTTAAATAATCATTTGTTGCATGCTTAAATCCTCTGCATGTTCCATTTTGACACAAAATTACATTTTGTATTCACATTACTTTACAATTACTTCCGTTGAAAACGGATGTTTACTTTTTGACTATTCAACAATAAGATATTTTATACACGAAAAGAACTCTAGGGTGCAAAGAACTAAATTTTATGAGAGTAATAGTTACTTTGGTGATGCCCTAGGCCCTATTGTCGAAAATTATAATGAATCGAGAGAAAAAATGGCGGCCATTTTATTTCATTGTATTTAGAAAATAGACCACGTGACCAGATTTTATACTGTTAAAAATACTGTTACCTATGTAACAGTACAAAATTCCTAGTCACGTGGTACACTTGCATTAACAGTAAGAATAACTCCCTGAGGCCTATGGGAAATTAACATTACGAAAAAGTGAGGGGTAATAATATATAAATAACACATGGGTTTGTGGGTAACAGTAAAAATATCATCCCGAGGAAAATACTACGCCGAGGGTAACAGTATTTATACGAGGGATGATATTTTTACTGTTACCCACAAACCCATGTGTTATTTATTTTATTACCCCGAACAAATACTGTGATGATCTGAATTTGTCAACTAAATCTAACTGTACATAACAAAAATAAAACAAGAGAAGCAATAACTAAACTGTCCTTACCTTGCAAGTTTTAAGTGCACTGTAGGCCTACTTGAGAAGCTGTTTTTCTTTTATTCTTTAGACAAGTGATGATATCTACCAGTCATAAACATAAAATAAGCTGTGTTTTATTCAGAAAACAAAACACTAACCCATTTATAAGGTTATTATCTGTGAAATCTGATCCTTCTGCATCCAGAATATTCTTCGCATGGTTTTTGACAAAGTGCATTTAGAAAATAACGATGATATCCTACAGATGTCTGTCCACCAACTCTATCTGTAACGTTTCACTGGTTAAAATTGTTAAATTATCCTTTGTTGCATGCTTTAATTGTCTGCATGTTCCAGTTTGACACAAAATTATTTGCATTACAATTACTTCCGTTGAAAAGGGTCTCTCTTATGGCCATCAATCGCTACAGTGATTGTGGGCCATAAACCGCTGAGTACTAGAACACTAAATCTGTGTATTTTCTTCCTCGGTCCGCCTATCATACAGCTTATTACGGTACGTTTAAAAAATATTGTAGAACTCTATCAAATGGAAAAAAATCTTTAAAACATTACATATAAAGAACAGTGGTGAACGTAACGAATGGTTGTCCAGCCAGACTTATTATGATAATTCGTATATAATTGCTTCTTATAGTCCCGTGTAAAAAACTTAAAAGTTATAGACTGTCTATTTGCTTGTGGACAGCGACATATGGCCCCATGTAAAAACTGAAACGACTTTAGAAATAGGCTATATATTTCTCTTGTAGGTAGCCACGTATGGCCCCGTGTAAAAAGCTTAAATCTCCGCAGTACTGGACTGTCTATTCGTCTGTGGACAGCCACATATGGCCTCGTGTAAAAACTGAAACGACTTTAGTAAAAGGCTATATATATTTCTCTAGCAGGTAGCCACGTATGGCCCCGTGTAAAAAACTTAAATATCGACAGTATTGGACTGTCTTTTCATCTATGAAAGGCACATATGGCCCCGTGTAAAAACTGAAACGACTTTAGTAAAAGGCTATATATTTCTCTAGCAGGTAGCCACGTATGGCCCCGTGTAAAAAACTTAAATATCGGCAGTACTGGACTGCCTATTCGCCTAGGGACAGCGACATATGGCCCCGTGTAAAAACTGAAACGACTTTAGTAATATGCTATATATTTCTCTTGCAGGTAGCCACGTATGGCCCCGTTAAAAAACCTTAAATATCGGCAGAACTGGACTGCCTATTCGCCTGGGGACAGCGACATATGGCCCCATGTAAAAACTGAATCGTCGTTAGTAATAGGCTATATATTTCTCTTGTAGGTAGTACTGGACTGTCTTTTCATCTGTGGACAGCCACATATGGCCCCGTGTAAAAACTGAAACGACTTTAGTAAAAGGCTATATATATTTCTCTAGCAGGTAGCCACGTATGGCCCCGTTAAAAAAACTTAAATATCGGCAGTACTGGACTGCCTATTCGCCTGGGAAAAGCGACATATGGCCCCGTGTAAAAACTGAAACGACTTTT